CCATGCCCTCCCTTGTGCTCTCACAACACATTTTGTAATGTCACTACTGCACCATCTCCCCTGTATTAGCTGTTCATATCACACAAAAGATTTTGATTGCAAGTAACAGGAAACACAACTCAGGCTGAGTTACACATTAAAAGTCTGAAAAGCTCAGACACTGGTTCAATTTTTCAGTGAGTCTCATGGCTCTGCCCTGCTCTTTGAATGGGGTTCATCCTCATGGTATCTTTCCTCCCTCATCAGAACAAAATGACCACCACCATTCCAGGCTTTACATCCAAAGGCCCCACCATTCACAGAGAGTCTGTTTCCTCACAGCTCTAGCAAAAGCTCCCCATTCCATGCTGATTGGCCCCCTACTGTGCCAATCACGGTAACCTGGGGAAGACCGCATATTGATTGGCTCAGACCAATCTGGTCCCTTCCCTCAAATTGGAGCAGTGTTTACTCACCCAAACTACAAGGGGCAGCAGTGGAGGGAGAATGGGGAGACATAACAGTGCCCACCAGGCTTTGTAAATGTCTCCCTAAGGAAACAACAAGCTCCATGAGGGCAGGGACTGACTCTAATTAATCTCTGGGTCCTCCTTCCTCAGTGCCCAGCACGGTGCTTGGCACCAGAGACACATGTGTAAACGTTCCTTGATTTGAACACCCTCCTGTCCCGTGAGATGATCCTCTGGGACCTGGGTGGCCTGGCCTCTGGTCTCTCAAAATGACAGCGACGGCTGTCAGATGACCTAGAGCACTAATACTTATGTTCACAAGAGTAGAGTTCTGCTACCCCAGTTTCAACCTCAGAATAGGGCTTCTAGAAACATGTGACCTCTACTGAAGATTCGGGGAAGAGAAACCTAGGATGAAGAGGCCTGAGATTAGGCGCCAGGTATTGTCCATTCACTCACTTGCTCATTCACTCACCTGCTCACTGTACTGATGCCTATTTATCATTGCCTCCCCAGCCCACAGCCCCTGCTGAATGGGGACAGACCGTGTGACTGTACCCTGCCTGCTTCCACCCATCCTAACCATTCTTGATTGATTACAATAGATTATTTCATTGGTTTTCAGTGGAGTTGTACCATTCCCTCAGAGGAGTTTGGAAAACTGGGGAGGCACGTCTTCTATTTTAGTTGAGGCCACGCATTAAAATATTGACATACACCCAAAGGAAGACTATATTTTTTTAATTTCTCTTTCTTTGTCGTTGTTTGGAGGATTATAGTAATTTTTAAAAATATGTGTATTTTATTGCAAGATAGCAAAGGGGGTCTTCCAAAATGTGTTATCTAAAGTGTGCATCGGCAGGGGAATTCTGCCTCCAGCTGAGTGAGAATATGGTAAATCCTCTCCCCAAAACGCAATTATAAAGCTGGGCAAAATAGATCAAAATAACCATGCAGCACTCTGGACATCAACAACAATTGGAGCAGCATTTGTGCTTGGAAACTGGAAATTTGGGCAATAACAGTGAGAATCTATGGCATTCTAGCTGGAGGTGGCTCCCATTCCCCTCCTCCCAGTTCAGTCAGAAGGGAGGTTCCACCAAGGTGGGGCAGTTTCTCTGGTTTGGTTAAAGGGGGCTCACTGGGTGTGGATCAGAGAGCAGCACCCACACTTGGCAGCCTTGTTGGTTTAAGTGAAAATCTCCAAGTCAGAAAAGCAGGTAGGCCAACAACTCCACGGGACAAATGTTGCAGTTGTGTTTGGGCATATATATTTCTGGCTAAAGCTGCATGCATGCAGCACAGAAACTAGAAAGGGCTCAATCAAGCCACAGGCTCCTGGCCAGCCCTGAGGCTGTGAATGTGTGTGAAGGAGACAAGAAAGAGCCCAGTAGAAAGTAAATGATAAGGACCCTGTGAAAATGGCCTGAAGTTTGAATGTGCTCCTGGGATAGGCAGCTTCTAAAATGGCTCCCAATGATTCTCACCTCTAGGATTATTGCCTTCCTTTGGGTGTTGTCTGGACATAGTGACTTGCTTCTAATAAATAGAACATGGCAGAAGTGATAGACGTCACTTCCAAGTTTAGCTTATAAGGGACTGACTTCTTTCTTGCTCTCATTCTCTCTTTAGTTATTCCCTCTTGCTGTTCTGATGAAGCAAGCTGCCATGTTGTAAGCTTCCCTATGGAGAGGCACATGTCACAAAGAACTGAGGGTGGCCTTCTGCCAACAGCCAGCAAAGAAAGAACTCAGTTCAATGGACTGCAAGGAACCCAGTCCTGCCAACAACCAGATGAGGAGCTTTGAAGTACATCCTTTCCCAGTCAAGCCTTTTGGGCCAATCAACCTGGCCAGCAGCTTGATTTTAGCTTGAGTCAGAGGACCCAGCTAAAGCACACTCAAAATCCTGACCCAGAAAAACTGTTTGGTAGAAAATGCTTTTGTTTTAAGCCACTAAACTTTGGGATGATCTGTCATGTAGCAACATGATAACTGATACAGCTCCCCTACCCACACACAGACTAATCAGCAGAGGACAGATAATTGAGGTGTTTGAGCACAATCTCTGTCCAATCTGATATGCAGGTGTAGACACAGAGACAATGCATAGGAAGCTAGACTTAAATATAAAACAAGAATATAAAAAATTTAATCAGAACTTCAGCAGCTTCATACCATAGGGAAGACAGGATTCCCAGATTCCCAGACAGGGATTGTCTGACTCGCAGAGCCTGAAGAAGTTACTTTAAAAATAAACAAATGAAAAAACAGTAACAATAAGCCTTGGGGGCAGAGGGGTGAATCAGAATCCAAAGTTACTACTGTATTTTTTAATGTCCAATTGTCAACAAAAAGAAATTACAAGTTATACCAAGAAACAGGAAAGTATGACACATACTCAGAAAAACAGCTGTCAATAGAAACCGTCTGAGTGTTCCCTGATTTTGAATTGGAAGACTTTAAATACCTATTAAAATATGGTCAAAGAACTAAAGTAAACTATGTTTTAAATTTTAAATGAAAGCATGACAACAATGAATCAACAAAGAGAGATTCTGAATAAGGAGAAAGAAATTGTTTTTTAAAAGGGGATATTCTGGGCTTGAACAGTACAATTGAAATGAAAATTATACTAGAAAGGCTCAACATCAGATTATATATGGCAGAGGAAAGAAGATTGAACCTGAAGATAGACTGATAGAAATTATCCAATCTGAAGAACAGAGAAGAGAATAATTGAAGAAAAATGAACAAAGCTTTAGAGACCAGAGGGACAGCATTAAGCCTGCCAACAGATGTATAATGGGAGTCCAGAAATAGAGAGAAGGGCAGGAAAAAAATAATGGAAAAAAACATGGCCAACATCTTCCAGAATTTAATGTCTTTAATGTATTTAAAGACATTAAATACATATCCAAAAAATTCAACAAATCTCAAGTGGGATAAATACAAAGAGATTCACACCTAGACTCATCATAGCAGACATTTGAAAGAGAAAAATCTGCAAGAGAAAAATCTGCAAGAGAAAAATGACATATATGCAGGAGAGTAACAATATGATTAACAGCTGACTTCCCACATAAAACCACGAAAGGCAGAAGAGAATGAAATAACACATCAAAGTGCTGAAAAAAACGGTTAACCAAAAATTCTATTATCCAGCAAATTTTTCTTCAGAAATGAAGGCAAAAATAAAAGCATTTCTACATACACAAAGACTAAAGAATTCATTGCTAAAATCCTGCAAATATATTGTAAAACAAATGAAGCCAGATGCAAAAGACTACATGTGTATGATTCTATTTATATAAAACTCCAACAGAAAAAAGAAATCTATGAAATTAGAAGTCAGAGTAGTGCTTACCTTTGGAGGGAGGTAGTGACTAGCAGGGGCCATAAGGGGGAATTTCTGGAGCATTAGTTACTTGTGATTCTGGCACACTTCTGCATATAGTTTCCATGAATAAAAGTTTACTAAAACAAAAAAGGAAGCTTGATCATGTCCCTCCCTCCCCTATGTTTGATTCCCTTTATTGTTTTCCCTTTGCTTCCCTTTCCTTTCCGGCCTCAGCAAACCTGTGACCTCCAAGGTGCTCTCTGGTCCGGCCTCTGCCCACCTCTCCAGCATCATTTCTCATTACCTAGTACACTAGCCACCTTGGCCTTCTGCTATTCCTCAAGTGTTCCCTGCTTCCATCCTGCCACAGGGCCTTTGCACATGCTTGTCCCCCTGGTCCAGAGCCCCACTGAGACCAGCTTACCCTTTAACTCCAGCCACTCCCCAAGTGTGATCTACTCATTACCCATCCAAGTCTAGTTCTTTTGTTTTGTTTAGTTCTTAGAATTATATTCCTTTCCTTCAGACCACTCATCTTCATTTGTCATTATGGATTCACAGGGTAATTATTTGACTGCTGTTTTGTCTTTCCCACTAGTCCATAAGTTTTAGAAGGCCTGACTATGTTTTCATCTTGTGTTGTATCTCCAGCACCATGTCTGGCACATAGTAGGCATCTGATAACTATCTGTTCAATGACTATAAAATTAATTAAGGCTATACAAATCTTCATTCTAATTAGAGCACATTGTGGAAAGCCTACCAGACTAAGAAATTTTAGATTTTTTTTTATAAGCTACAAGGAGTCATTGAAGGTTTTGGAGAAGAGGAGATATGTGAGCTGAGCTTTGTTTTAATAAGATCTCTGTAGAAATGGAGGTGGAGAGCCCATAAAGGAGGCTGTGGCACAGTCCAAGTGATGGACAGTGCCTAAAGAGGGACAGTGGCCATGAGGGGAAACCAGTGTCTTGCTCCACTCTGACCCCCATGGACAGCCTGACAGTGACCTCACAGTCACCCTCTGGATCTCCTACCCTTGAAGGTTAATATCCCAGCTCTGGCCTAACGCTGCCCTTTATGTTCACATTTATGTTCACATCTAGGGGACAAAACCCTACCATCTGAGTCATCCAGGCCAGCAACCAGAGGCAGAGGGTTCAACAAAGCAAGAGTGTGCCACCTTTCCGCCCAAGGCATGACCAAGGCTCCATGATGACAGAGCAATCAGAGGACCTGAAGGATTCCCTGCCCACAGAGAGGAAGCATGTGTGGAGGACGGCCGAGGAGAGGCGGATGTCAGACCTCAAGTGGGTATTGGAGTGGCTGGAGCAGAGGCAGGGCAAGAAGAAGCAAGCTCTCCAGGTGTGTACTTACTGTCAACGAAAACCTGCAAGGAAGGCTTCATTCGAGACTACTACTGTATGGTGTGATGGGGTGAGGGGAGGGTTTGCAGCACTGGGGTGAGCCAGTAGAAAAGCACCAGAGGACATGGGGAGAGATTGTCACTGTGATCAGGCCATCCTTGTTGGCTAATTATCCCTATGTAGTTAGGCTCCTACCCTCCCACAGAGACTGGGAGGTGGGAATGCTATCTTTCCTGATGATTGCATTTTAAAGGGTTGACTCCCAAGCTCTGGAGAAAAGCATTCCCGGATTATAAAGCTGGGCAAGAGGCTGGGAGAAGATTTACATCTCAAAGGGGCAGAGAAAGAATTTACAGGTGTAAATTGTCTAAAGGAATTGTTCTAGGAAAAGGGAGGTCAAGGTCCTAGAGTCAGGAAGAAACCTACCTAGTTTAGTCGAGGTGAAGGGACCTTAAAGCCATCTTGGTCACTGTTGGAGAAGGGCTGAGAGGCAATAGCTTCTAGTGTCTTGATGATCTCAGAATGGGTCCTCCCACTGTCCCCAGGCACTTCCATCCACATGATGGTCCCAGGGTCAGAGGGCATTCTCCACCTCCACTAGCCCCACTGGGACTCCTGCTAACATACCTCTTCCTTTCTATCCTGCGTTAGAACTAGCTGTAACCGCCTGTCTTAGTCCATTTGGGCTTCTGCAATCAAATACCATAGACCAGGTGGCTTAGAAACAACAGAAATTCCTTTCTTACAGATCAAGGTGCCAGCAGGTTTGGTGTCTGATGAAGGCCTGCTTCATGGTTCATAGACGGCTGCCTCCTTGCTGTATCCTGCTAAAGAGGGAGAGTCAGGAGAGCTCTCAGGGGCCTCTTTTTTAAGGCCCTAGTCCCATTTATGAGGGCTCCACCCTCATGACATAACAACCTCCTGAAGTCCCCACCTCCTGACACCATCACGTAAGGAGTTAGGATTTCAGCATAGGAACTTAGGGGGACACAAACATTCAGTCTGTAGCACCACCCTTTCCTCTTTCTCCAGGAACTATGACAACCAATTTTGCCCCAGTTTCCCCCAGAGTTCCCCTCTGGGCCCATCGTCTACAGAAAATTAAGCCATGTCCTTGGAAAGTGGTCTCCTCTGCAGAAGATGCCACCTAATCTTGACTCCCCTGGCTCCCAGAGAAAAATGGGTGAAAATGGCATTACTAAGAACAATGATAACTTTTATTAAGCGTTTCCTGTGTGCCAGGCCCTGTGCTCACTGCAATGAGTTGTCTGGTCCACTGCTCCCAGCAAGGCTACAAGGTAGGCACCGTTCTTACCACCAGCTGAAGGATAAGAAGCTGAGATGAAGAGGAATAATTTGCTTGAGCTCACAGAGCTAGTGAGGGGCCGAGCCAGGGCTCAACCTCAGATTTATCCAGTTTCCAAGCTCGTGGGCTGTCAGGCCCACGCACCATCACCACCTCCCCTTCTCCTGCTTCACCCAGTTCAGCGGCCCCTGCCTTGCAGGGGAGCTCCTGTTCTGGTTATGTGCTTACTTATCAATTATAGTCAGAGAGATCTGGAGTGCAAGTCCCATCAGATACGCGTAAACACATCTGACAAACATATTTTACTCTAAGGCGTTAGTGATTTACCTACCCTCCCCCTTCCCCCCGTTTTTGGGCCTCTCAGAACTCATTCGCAGAAATCATATTCAGTTCTCTGATGAATATGTTTGATCCCATCTCTTCGTACTAAGATTATATTCCTTTTTAAAAAATTTTTATTGGAGTATAGTTGATGTACAATGTTGTATTATTTTCAGGAGTACATTACAGCAGAGTGAATCATATACATGTATCCACTCTCTTTTTTAGATTCTTTTCCCATATTGGCCATTACAGAGTATTAATTAGACTTCCCTGTGCTATATAGCAGGTTCTTATTAGTTATCTATTTTATGTACAGTAGCATGTATATGTCAATCCCAATCTTCCAATTTACCCCTCCCCCACCCTTCCCCCCTGGTAACCATAAGTTTGTTTTCTACATCTGTGACTCTATTTCATTTTTGTAAGTAAGTTCATTTGTACCATGTTTTTAGATTCCACATATAAGCGATATCATATGATATTTGTCTCATAAGACTATACTCTAATAATGTTTTCACAGCTTTACCTTATACGTGGCTTTTATTGTAAATAAGTTTGGACCCAGGGAGGGAACAATTTAATTTGAAAATACAGTTAAATCTTCAAGCATCATTACCCTTGCCAGAAGCATTTGTATTTTGAAAGACGCTCCTGAGAGAGAGGGTGATGCTTCCGTGGCAGGTCTCGTATGGCAGGTGGCGGGGGACACTTTAGTGAAGGCGGTTGGAGGGGGGCTGTCCGCAGCCTCCTCTCCCTTCTCCTGGCAATCCAGGCTTTTCTCCACTTCAGCACGATTATGGAGCTACCCAGAGGGCTGTGCCCCTTGTGATCCATTTGCCATCCATGAAGACCCCTGAAGTCTCAAAGTCTCAGCCACAGGGGCCACTGAATCGTGGCTATTGCAGTTTCCTTGGGTCTGTGGTATCACCACATCCATTCCACTCAGCTCCCTCCAAAAATGGGGGCTGGTAGCTACTCAGGTGACTCTTGAGGAGAGGCTGAGGGTTGAGAGGAGAAGGTGGGAGGTGGGTCACCCCCGGGGGAGCCGGCCTTAGTCTCTCTCTAATCACCCTGCAGCATCAGCCCTGGCCCCAGCTTGCACCCCTTCCCCCCACTAAGCCAAACAAAACCCCGAAGTTGAGTAGCACCCCGTCCTTTGATGGCCTTAAGGAGGACCTTGGACAGCTTCCTTCCACACATCCAGATGGCTTCCTTCCACCCGTACAGTGTTGCTAACATTCATGGAGGGCTTAGCACTTCTGCGCAGTGATTCATGTATTTCCCACTATGACCCTGTGAAGTAGGTTCTGCTACCCGTCCCCGTCCTCAGAGAGAGCCATCCCTTGCCCAGGGTTGCTCAGACACTCAGCCGTAGAGCAGGATTGCGAGCCGGGCTGTCAGCCCTGGAGACCAGTCTCAGCTGTCACCCCATGACCCCGACACCCTACGGCACACCCGAAGAGGAGACCTAGTTGATTCAGCTTCCCCACGATGCTCCAGCACCCCATGCCCACCCCTTAGAGATGGGCCTGGATGTGCGTCTGTGGGCTCCTCCCCCGATGGGCCCTGTTGCTCCCTAATGAGCCTTACTCTTTCC